GAATCAGTTAAAGTAACACAAGAACTGGTAAAAACTCTGCAGAATCAATTAGCGAACCTTGAGGAACAATTAGAAAGAGAGAGACACAATTCGGCTTTGTTGCCAATGGCTTTTAAGGAACTGTTAACGTCTAAGCATGCCGACAATACTAGTCTGCCTCACGAAAAAACTTTTCCTCAGGAGGAACTGCAAGGAATGAAGGAAAGGCTAGATAAATTAGAAATGCCAATAGCCCCATTGCGCCCTTTGATAAAAACTGAATATACATTTGATAACGGTGAGGATCTAGATCCTCAGATGAATGTTAAGGAAATTCCCTTCTCAGCCACTGAACTAGCAAAACTGAAAAAAGATTTTAGCCGCTCTCCAAACGAATCTGAAACAGAGTATGTATGGAGGGTTAGCCTCACTGGTGGAGACCAGATTCTGCTAACAGAAAAGGAAGCGGAGGGCTATTGGGGACCAGGAGTATTTTTAACTACTGGCAACAATCGTGCTCCCTGGTCCTTAACACAGAGGGCTGCCTATTGGGCAGGTGGTCTCAACCCTTTAGAAAGGGGAGATCCTCTTGCTATTATTGGAACAGTTGATCAGTTAGTAGAAAGTGTTCAAAAGGCTGCTTGTCTCCAAATGATGTACGATAGAAAGCTGCAGCCACATCATGAATCACCCATGATGATGCCCGTGGATCCTGAAAGGATGACCCCTCTAATTAGGGGGCTTCCAGAGTCGTTAAAACCTATAGGTATACAACTGCAAGGAAAAATACAAGCTATGTCTCAGGGAGAGAGAGCCCGGGTAGCGTTGGAAGGAACAGTAACCCCCAACCGTCTGCAGTCAGAATGCAAAGTATGGACGTGGGGGGAGGTTGCCCAAGAGTTAATTAATTATGGGAGAAAATATGGGCCGGTGGTTTCTTCCTCCAGTAAATTTGAGCCTAGGGGAGTAAGGCTTGCAGCAGCCAGTCTTGCCCCCAGGCCACCTAGCCCAAAACTTAATGGAACTGAAAAGGTTTCGTCCCCGATAAGAACAGGTAGACGGAGCATTGATCATAAACGTAATGGATTGTGGACCCTGGGCTGGAAAAAGGGTATTCCACGAAATTTGATGGATGGATTGATGACAGATAGGCTCGAGATGCTGGTTGCTGGATGGCCGACTAGACTTGAGGAAAGTAAAACCCCAGGTCCTAGTGCCCCTCCCACAGTGCCTGAAGTGCTACCAGAGCCGTTGGGAAACTAATTCCTTCACCCCTCTCAAGTGAGCGGGGGGGTGAAGGGTAGATGTTTATTAGGAGGCTCACAACTAAATGCAGTGATCTATTAATTACATGCATTGTTGAACCTAACTTAGTTCCAGTGACGTTTCTTGTAGACACAGGAGCACAAATTTCAGCTATCAAAAGGGAGGATGCTGAACGTGCTGGTGTAACCCTATCCCGCAGAAAGATATTTGTGGCAGATGCCATGGGTGGGGTGCATTCACAGATCATGGCAACAGTGAGGCTAAGGTTACTTGGGGAATAGCAGTCCCAGGATGTCCCCATGGTTGTGGGAACTTTCCCGCTTAATTTGCTAGGACTTGATATGCTGAAGGGCAAAAATTGGACAGACGATGAAGGGAGAGAATGGAAGTTTGGTGTTCCTTCCCTAGATATTCATTTATTACAGATAGCACCAGCACTTCCCCCCTCCCACCTGACCTCTGTTAGACCTTACCCTTTACCTCTGGGAGCACGTACTGGTATTAGCCCAGTGCTGGCAGAATTATAAGAACAGGGAATAATGGTACACACCCATTCCCCTTTTGATTCCCCTGTGAGGCCAGTTAGGAAACCAAATCGCAAATAGAGATTGACTATTGATTATCGCAGGCTGAATGCCAATACTGGACCACTAACTGCAGCAGTACCTAACCTCTCTGAATTAATAGCAGCTATCCAGGAGCAAGCTCACCCTATTATGGCCACTGTTGATGTTAAAGATATGTTCTTTATGGTTCCCCTACACCCTGATGATCAACCCCGCTTTGCTTTTACATGGGAGGGCCAGCAATATACCTTTACCCGCCTTCCTCAGGGGTTCAAGCACTCCCCAACTTTGGCTCACCATGCCCTGGCAAAAGAACTTGAACAGATTCCCTTGGAAGAAGGTGTTAAGCTTTATCAATACATTGATGATATCCTCATAGGAGGTGATCAATTGACACCCGTAAAAATAATGCATGACAAAATTATTAGACGATTAGAGGAGCTGGGGTTGACAATTCCCCCAGATAAAATCCAGCCCACCATCTTAATCTCACACCGGTTATACAGATATTAAAAGAACCTCATCTCCCTCCTATAAATTGGAGCGTAACACAGAACCACTGAAATATAAGGCATTGGTGGATACCGGCGCACAGTGCACTCAGATGCCCTCGACTTATGAAGGGACAGAATCAATCCATATTTCTGGAGTGACTGGGGGCTCTCAAGAATTGACTGTGTTGGAGGCCGAGATAAGCCTCACTGGTAGGAACTGGCAAAAGCACCCTATTGTGACTGGTCCAGGGGCTCCATGTATACTTGGTATTGATTACCTCAGAAGGGGGCATTTCAAGGATCCTAAGGGGTATTGATGGGCCTTTGGAATAGCTGCTGTAGACACAAACAACATTAAGCAGCTGTCTGTTTTGCCTGGCCTGTCAGAAGATCCGTCTGTTGTGGGGTTGCTACGAGTAAAAGAGCAACAGGTACCAATTACTACAAAAACGGTGCACAGACGGCAGTACCGCACCAACAGGGATTCCTTGCTCCCCATTCATAAGTTGATTCGTCAACTAGAGAGTCAAGGAGTGATCAGCAAAACTCACTCGCCTTTTAACAGCCCCATATGGCCAGTGCATAAAGCCAGTGGAGAATGGAGGCTGACGGTGGACTACCATGGCCTGAATGAAGTCACAACCCCACTGAGTGCTGCTGTGCCGGACATGTTAGAACTCCAGTATGAACTAGAATCAAAAGCAGCCAAATGGTATGCCACCATTGACATTGTTAATGCCTTTTTCTCCATTCCTTTGGCCAAAGAATGTAGGCCACAGTTCGCTTTCACCTGGAGGGGTGTTCAATATACTTGGAACCGTTTGCCCCAGGAGTGGAAACACAGCCCGACTATTTGCCATGGGTTGATCCAAACTGCATTGGAACAGGGCAGTGCCCCTGAGCACTTGCAGTACATTGATGATATCGTTGTGTGGGACGAAACAGCAGAAGAAGCCTTCACAAAACGAGAGCAAATAATCCAGACTCTTCTGCGTGCTGGTTTTGCTGTTAAGCGGAGCAAAGTGAAAGGACCTGCTCAGGAGATTCAGTTCCTAGGTATAAAGTGGCAAGATGGCCGTCGTCACATCCCGACAGATGTGATCAACATAATCACCGCTATGTCTCCACCCACTAGCAAGAGAAAGACACAATCTTTTCTGGGTGTAGTGGGCTTTTGGAGAATGCATGTTCCAAACTATAGCTTCATTGTAAGCCCCCTTTATCATGTGACGCATATGAAGAATGAATCCCTCTTTCCTGGTGCATGGGGCCCTGAGCAGCAGCAGGCTTTTGAACAGATTAAACAGGAGATAGCCCGTGCCGTGGCCTTAGGGCCAGCACGGACAGGGCAGGATATAAAGAACATCCTCAACACTGCTGCTGGAGAGAAAGGTCTCACTTGGAGTTTGTGGCAAAGAGCCTCAGGAGAGACCCGAGGCCGACCTCTGGGATTCTGGAGTCGGGCCTACAAGGGGTCGGAAGAGGGCTACACTCCAACTGAAAAGGAGATCTTAGCTGCGTATGAGGGGGTTTGGGCTGCTTCTGAAGTGGTCGGTACTGAAACACAGCTCCTTCTGGCACCTCAACTGCCAGTGCTGAACTGGATGTTTAAGGGAAAGGTTCCCCCCACCCATCATGCAACTGATGCCACTTGGAGTAAGTGGATTGCAGTGATTACACAACGAGCCCGGATGGGGAACCTCAGCTGTCCAGGAATCCGAGGCCATCATGGACTGGCCTGAAGCCAAAAAGTTTGGAACACCAGCAGAAGAAGTATCACGAGCTGAAGAGGCCCCACCATACAACGAATTGCCAGAAAATGAAAGAAAGTATGCCCTGTTCACTGATGGATCGTGTCGTATTGTGGGAAAGCATCGCAGATGGAAAGTTGCTGTGTGGAGCCCTACACAACGAGTTGCAGAGGCCGCTGAAGGGAAAGGAGACTAAAGCCAATTTGCAGAGGTAAAGCGTGTCCAACTGGCCTTAGATGTGGCTGAACGGGAGAGGTGGCCAATGCTTTATCTTTACACTGACTCATGGATGGTGGCAAATGCTTTATGGGGGTGGTTACAGCAGTGGGAGCAAAATAACTGGCAAAGAAGGGGTAAACCTATTTGGGCTGCTGAACTGTGGAAAGACATTGCTGCCTGAACAAAGCATATGGTCGTGAAGGTTCGCCATGTAGATGCTCATGTGCCAAGAGTCAGGCTACTGAAGAACAGCAAAATAACCACCAGGTAGATCAAGCTGCCAAAACTGAGGTGGCTCAAATAGACCTGGACTGGCAGAAGAAGGGGGAATTATTTCTAGCTCGGTGGGCTCATGAGACCTCGGGCCATCAGGGGAGAGATGCAACATATAAGTGGGCTAGAGACCGAGGGGTGAACTTAACTGTGGATGCTATTGCACAGTTTATTCATGACTGTGAAACATGTGCCATAATCAAACAAGCCAAGAGGATGAAACCTTTCTGGGGGGAAGGGTGATGGCAAAAGTATAAATATGGGGAGGCATGGCAGGTTGATTATATCACCTTGCCACGATCCCACAGTGGTTTTATGTGCTTACCATGGTGGAAGCAACCACTGGGAGGCTTGAAACATATGCAGTACCCCATGCTACCACCCGAAATACCATATTGGGTCTTGAGAAACAAGTCCTGTGGCGACATGGCACCCCAGAAAGAATTGAGTCAGATAATGGGACTCATTTCAAAAATTCTCTCGTAAATACTTGGGCCAAAGATCATGGCATTGAGTGGATTTACCATATTCCCTACCATGCACCAGCCTCTGGTAACGTCGAACGATACAATGGGATGTTAAAAACTATGCTGAAAGCAATGGGTGGCGGAACATTTAAGCACTGGGAGAAGCAATTGGCAGAAGCCACCTGGTTAGTCAATACCAGAGGATCTATCAATCGTGATGGTCCTACCCAATCCAGCTCCCTACACACCGTAGAGGGAAATAAGGTCCCTGTTGTACATGTAAAGAGCATGTTGGGAAAAGCAGTTTGGGTTCTTCCAGCTTCTGGAAAGGGCAAACCTCTTTGAGGAACTGCTTTTGCCCAGGGACCTGGGTCCACTTGGTGGGTAATGCAGGAAAATGGGGATGTTCAATGTGTACCACAAGGAAATTAGATGCTGGGGGAGTGCAGACAGTAATTCCATGTATATGTATATAGGCGTGTGCGTGTGATGCATCTTTAATCATTTTGTTTGTTTGTAGATGTACGTGTATATACATATATATATATTAAGCATGATGTAGTGATGTAGAATAAGGGGTGGAATGTCATGGTTTTGTTTTTTTTTAATTTGATTTTCAATATTCCACGTCAAAACATCATGTACTGGAATTAAAGTGTTAATGCTCTAATTCTATGTACCTATCCCTATATATTACAGAAGTCATGGGATCTGACCCTTCTGGGTGGGGCGGTCTCTTACTGCCTGGCAGTGGGTGCTGGAGGGTGCTTTCCTAGCCGTTCCAAGCTTTTTTTCAGGTTTGACTCGGTCTCGGGAACTCTCTCTCCTATCTTTTTTGATTTATTAGTCTCAATTTCAATTAGATTGTATTATATTGTGTTATCTTGCATTCCGATATCATAGTTAGTAAAATAAGTTTACCTCCATAGATTGTTGCCACTGTTTTTATCTTTTCCCCCTTCCTTCCTTCCCATTTTGTGGGGCCAGGCGGGGGGGTGGGGAGGGCAGGGGCCCACTGCCCCCTGTCACGGGCATAAACTGATCTAGTTAATTCCGTGACAGTTGCACACCTTTCTCCCTATCTCCCTACATCTCCTTCCCTCCCAGCTCTCTGTTTCACCCCTTTCTCCCTTCATCTACCTCCCTCCTGGCTTTCTGAAGTGCCCCTTCCTCCCCTCCCTCTCCCACCATCCTGGTAACCTGTTGTGCAAATTCTTGCTTCCTCTCACTCCGTCCCAACTCCCGCTTGCACCCATTTCTGCCTTTCTCCCTACCTCTCCCTCACTCCTGGCTCTCGATCGCACCCCTTTCTCCCTACTTCTCCCTCCCTCTCGGCTCTCTGTCACACTCCTTTCTACCTTTCTGCCTAGCTCTCCCTCCCTCACAGCTCTCCATCATGCCCCTTTTTACTTTTCTCCCTACCTCTCTCCCCCTCCCAGCTCCCTATCGCACGCATTTCTCCCTACCTCTCAACTCTGCCACACCGCTTTCTCCCTTCATCTCCATCCCTCCCAGCTCCCTATAGCACCCCTTACTCCTCCCTTCTCCCTCCTGGCTCCATCATGCCTCTACCTTCCTTCCCTCGCAGCTCCTTTTCACGCCCCTTCTTCCCACCCTCTCCCTCCCTACTGGCTCCCAGTCATGCCAATTACTCCCTCTCTCTTTACCTCTCTCCCCCAGCTCTTTGTTGCACCACTTTTTCCCTATCACACCCTCCCTCCCACCACTCTGTCACACCCCTTTCTCCCTTCCTCTCCCTCCCTCCCAGCTCCCTGTTGTGCCCTATTCTCTCCTACTCTTACTCCATCCCAACACCTTGCCATGCACCGTCTTCCCATCCTCTCCCTCTTTCTTGGCTGTATCACACACCTTTCTCCCTATCTCCTATCTTCTCCCACCCTCCCTGCTTCATCGTGCTCCTTTCTCCCTTCCTCCCCCTCACTCCATCCCAGCTCTCTGTCGCACCCCATTCACCCATCCTCTACCTCCCTCCCAGCTCCTGGTCATGCCCCTTTCTCCCATCCTCTCCCTCCATCCTGCCTCTCTGTCATGCTCCTTTCTCGCTTCCTCACTACCTCTCCCTCCATCATGGCTCTCTGTCACTCTCCTTTCACCCTACCTCACCCACCCTCCAGGATCTCTGTTGCGCCCCTTTCTCCCTTCATCCCTACCTCTTCCTCCCTCTCAGCTCTCTCTCATGCTCCTTACTCCCTTTCCCCCAACCTCTCCCTTCTTTCCCAAATCTTCGTCACACCCCTTTCTTCCTTTCTCCCTACCTCTCCCTCCTGGATCTCTGTGTTGTCCCTTTCTCTCCACCTCTCCCTCTCACCCAGGTCTCTGTCACACCCCTTTCTCCCTTCATCCCTACCTCTCCCTCCCTGCTCTCCGTTGTGCTCCTTTCTCCCTACATCTCAGTTCCTTCCCAGGTCTCCATTGCACCCCTTTTAACCTTTCTCACTACCTCTTCCTCTCTCCCAGCTCTCTAACATGCCTCTTTCTCCCTACATCTCCCTCCCTCCCAGATCTCTATCGCACCCCTTTATTGCTTTCTCACTACTTTTCCTTCTCTTCCAGCTTACTGTAGAGCCCCTTTCTCCCTTTCTCTCCCTCCTTCCCAGCTCCCTGCTGCGCACCTTTCTCCCCATCTCCCTACATTTCCCTCCCTCCTGGCTCTGTCATGCCCCTTTCTACTATCCCTCCCTCCCTTCTGGCTATCTCTCGCTCTCCCTCCTTCCCTCCCTCCCTCCCGGCTCTCTCGCTCCCCCCCCCTCCCTCCCTCCCTCCCGGCTCTCTCGCTCGCCCTCCCTCCCTCCCTCCCTCCCGGCTCTCTCTCCCTCAGATCATTGCCACTGCTCTGTTTTTAGACCCATCTACTATCTCCCTACCCTTCCCCCTTTTTCCCTCTCCTGGAATGTGGGTCCATGAGTCCCCTGCCTCATTAGTCACAGGGCCAGACCAGACGGGCCCATAAGCTGTTGACACTTTTTTTTCTTTCTTTTTTTTCTAGGCTGCTGGGCCTGTGGGGCTGCTGTCCCTGTCACAGACACAGATCTAAAGATAACTACATGACACCCTCCCTCCCTCTCCCTTTTGGCTCTCTCTTGTTCTCCTCCCTCTCACTCTCCCTTCTGGCTCTCTCTAGCACTCCCTCCCTTCCTCTCTTTTGGCTATCTTTTTCTTTCCCTCCCAGTACTCCCTCTCCCTTCCATCCTCCCTTTTGGCTCTCTCTCCTCCCCCTCCCTCCCCTCTCCCCTCCCGGCTCACTCTCTTTCCCTCCCTTCTCTCTTTCCATCCTTTTAATTGTCTATACATGTTTATTTTAATTCCACAGCTTTATGTGCTACACTTTAATCATAGTGAAGTCTTTTCAGCATGCAAAAATCAAGAACCTGTCATTTTTTTCTTTTCTAGCCCCTTTTCAGTTTTTAAGCTGTATTTGCAACCAAAACTCACTAATTTGAAGATCTTCTCAATCTTCTAAGACTGCTAAGTTGCACACTCATGGCCCTATTATGACAGTCCGAGAAAACTATTTCTTTCTTGACCCACCATTTATTGCCTCTTAAGATTAGTAGATACTCTGGAATTAACATTGCAGTCCACCCTCCTATATCATTTTCATTATGTCCTCTCAGAGTTGTATAATCACATTTCTGAAAATAATTATTTGGGTGTATCACTTCCATTTTCTTGTGTTTTTAACATCTCAAATTTTAACTAAGACATAGACTTGACTTTAAAAATTTATATAATATTTTTTCATCAATTGCTACTGTTAAGATAAAAAGTGAAACAGTCAGCAGAACTTACCCTTTTCATCATCAGTACACCTGCCAAGGTAAGGTGGAATTTCAGCTTGATACTTTGAACCAACCATTATTTCCTGAAAATAAAACAAAAAAAAAAAGGAGAAATATTTACTTAATATTTTTCACATGGATGCATTATAAAAAAAATAAAAAACATCATTAACTTGGCATTCGGCAGAAAATCCCAGAATTAAGGTACAATTTTAGATACATTCTGTAGATCTTTAAAACTTTGCTATAAAAAAAACCACATTATTTGAACTGTTGGTGTTTTTTTGTTTTATAAAATAATTATTACCTTTCTCAAATCTTCGGATGTATTACCACTGTCTACCTCCACATCTTCACCATCTGATCCTTTATCTCCATCACAAGTAGTGTTTGCTTCAGACACAAAAATGTTTGGTTTTAGCTAGGAAGCATTTTCACTTTAAACATAACTACAGTAAATTGTTGTTTATCTTTTACTTTTGAAAGAAGCAGCTGCTTTTATTCAGGGACACATTGATCACAAGTCTGTTGCTGTACACTTCTATCAAACTACAGCATCAAGTCAGAAAGCACCAGTACTTGTATACTGCAGAACTGAAACATTTATCATGACTGCAACTGAGACAACCTAAGATATTTCTAACAGTCAAAAGGGAATAAAATCATTTTTCTTCTCTTTTGTTCTTCCCCTCTCCCTTTCAGTGAAGGCTTACACGTTATAGAAAAGGTATGAGAAAACAAACCTTCAGGGCTACAACTTAGCCCCAGTTAATCACAAAAATGTATGTTGAAGGCAAGTCTTTATTATCTACCAAAGCCTGTAATTTGAAGTTTTAATGGGTATGCAAAACATTATTTTAAACAAGGCTGCTTCAACATGGAGTGAAGATATAGCAGCGATATACAAAATAGAATAAGCAAAAGGCAGCTTATTGCTTATTCTTTTTTACTTTTTCTCCCCTCCTTGGGAAGAAAGACAGCAAACCACTCCAAGTATGTCAAATACAGTACTTCACAGAACTACTCATATTTTAGAAACTGTAACACTGTGGTACTGGATTCTGAAATTTTTACAGATGTATAATTCCTAGTAGAATGAAATCTATCATTACAATAAGATTAAAGCTGCCACACTTTCAGTGTCATATTCATTAACAGTTCACAAGCAACATTTAAGTGCCAGCAAAGTTGGGGTTTGCTTAATTTCAAGAGCATTATATTTTTTAAGGATTTTTGTATCTCACCTTAAATAAGAATGTCTTACATTACAGAATCAGCAACATGCTAAGAACTACACCTGCAGGTGACTGAGGCAGCACATCATCATCATCATCCTTTTTTAGCAGGATATAATCCCCCCCAAAAATAGCTCAAGATACTTGCCAAATTAAAACCATGATAAAATCCTCCATGCTGTCCTAACTCCAGAACACCACTGAACAAATGAGTTGCAGCAGGCAATGAGGAATATGTGGTCCACATTGGGTAACTGAACCACTGACTGGTTCCCAAATCTTTCCCATCATAGCTCCATGCGAAGTGAAATTTTGGTGATCATGGGTTCAAAGGCCCCATCCCATATAAAAACACTGGCTCACCCTACAAAGTCCTATAGAAAAGTGATGTATGTGTGAAAGGAAATAATCATAAAGAAATCACAGCCAGACTCTCATTCTCTAGCTGAACTGAAGCCACTGGCTTAAAAATAGCAGCAAAATTTTAGTAGAGAAACACTAACTTAAAAGAATGGGCTATATATTCGTGTCATTCACTTTCATTCATATTCACAAATACTGAAAATCATAACGTGGTGTTGAGGAACACTCTTTAACTATTAACTATGAAAAGTCACTGTATTTACAGAGAAATAAATTGTATTTTGGTTTCGAGCACAATACTAAATGTAGGTCTTTCAGGTAATTAGTAATAACAATCAAAGACAACATTCACTTACAACATCCTCCAAAGCACTGTTTCTCAACCATTAATAAGTCAGTAGTACTCTGCAACTCTGATATTTTAAGCTAGAAAGTCTTATGTAATGACAAGACTGCTTCGAGTGCTGTTATAAAATTAGATTTCCTACATCTTAATGGCCGTGGAAAGAAGTCTGTAGCCTCATGTGAAGTAACTGATGGTGTCAAGTCATCAGCAGAGGACTGTGTTTCTTCATCATCACCCGACAAGAGGTCTTTAGCTATTTCCTCCTGTATCATTAAAATAAAATAATTAAGTAAATAATCTCAGATTGTCTATTAAGTATGGACTGGTGAGCATTTAGATTCAGTAAATTATTTCACAGTAAGTACTTTTAGCAGATTGTACTCCCTTAATTAAAAACCTAGTTTGCTCCTCCTAAATTTAAGAAGAAACATAACTTCATTTCAGAGTTGAACATGGGTTTGTTTCCCCTTCGTCTTCTATTAAAATAAAGGCACAAGAAGTAACCTCTGCAATTATCAATCTCAGATGTGCTTCCAACCACTTCCAATGAAAAATATCAATGAAAAGTGCCTCAAAACTTTAGAATTTTGTCATTCTTTACATCACAGATACACTGAAGCTTTAAAAGGCTGTTACCCATATACTCTGGAAAAAGAAAATAGGACAGGCACTTCTGCAGGGTTTTGCTGAGAGGACAGTTACAGAAAATAGACAACCCATTATCTTTCCAAAACACACCAAAAACTGAAGTTTTCAAAGGAAAACAGGGGGAAAAAAAAAGCACTAGTAGACATATTTGAACTCCTCTGTATATAGGTTAGGGAGGGAAAGAGCTATATTAGACAACAAGCTGACTACATTTTTGTAACCTCAACACAAATCATGAATCTAATGAGAATTAGATGTGCAGAGCCATAACTATATTTATATTCAACTTTCTATGGGGCTTATCTGTAAGTGATGTATTAGAAAAAAAAGCAACAAATACTTACTATCTACAGATTTTATAAAGAGTTAAATGGCAGAATTCAATGTTAGCCTGCAAATCACAGACCAGTTTTTTTTTAAACATCAACAATGTATTTATCTGTAATGACTGTGTGTGTTACTATCTGTCTCCCTCACTCACACCCCTCCCCCCCTCACAAAGTTAAGGCCTTACACAAATTACATGTATCTGAAAGGAACATTCTAAAGCATTCAAAAGAGCATTTTCAAGTTATCCACATAAGTTTTGGTACATAACACTGTGACAGCGTGCTTTCCCCCCAACCCGCAACCCTGTTCAAACAATAACCATCAGTGGCATCTGTGACAGATGCACCTGGTCACGATAGCTGCACTGAGCTCAAGGTGTATTCAAGGGAGACAGATAACACCACAATAGTCAAGGGCTAACAGAGTATGCACCAAGTATTACTGGTATGCAAATATGAATAGGAATGAATTAGAATCAGATTCTCAGTGTCCTTGAAAATGAACGAATACAGCAGTTCTTGACTGTATAATGAAATTGACAAAGATAGGCATTTTGTAACATCAAGAGACAAGGAAATGTTAAGTATTATTTGAAGTCACATGGATTTCTGATTTTAAATTGTAATACTGGGGAAAAATGGCTCTGACTTACTTTATCTAAAGTCATATCTGGAAGTTCATCTGCAAGTTCACTTGGAGAGCTGTTCACACTGGAGCCTGCCATAACTGGAATTGTGGGTTCATATCCATAGAATGCCAGTAAATCTTCCAATGGCATGTTTCCTTCCTAATACGAGAAGATTTATGAACACCTCAACATATTAGCAAATACTTGTAAACTTTTCAGGCCTAAAAAGATAAGATATATTTTGGGAAGAAAAAAAAAAGTAGTAAAAAAAAAATTAATTGAAAGCAGGAAACTTGAATCAAGATTTAAAATATTTTCAGGCACAGGAGTGAAACAATTCATCACCATCTCTCTTAGCATATAGTGAAGTTTCATCAAGATACTCAATACTGTTTACTAGATGAAAGTAAATAGTAATTGAATGTTAAAAATTTGTTCCTTATCTGATTCATACTGTAGAGCACAAGTGGCTTGTATTTCTTCAATACTAGAAACACAACTCCCCTACAAGAGAAAACTACAGAAAAACTTGAAGACTCTAGTCCTACACAATTACAGCTGCAAGCGTGCATTCAAAAACTCACAAACATAAATCAAAATAGCAAGCTTTTGTCTCCCCTTTTCATCTCCTGCACAATATATTTTATAACAATTGCTGAGAAAGCAATAGGAGAAAGACAGCTAATGATCTATAAGGCAAAAAAAAAAAATAAAAGACAACACTGCATTTACAATTTTCTTTTCCCAACAGTTTTTGTGCAAGTAATTTTGCTAAATATCATATTTCCATCCTAAGACAATTATATCATTCAATTCAACAATGAATTATAAATATTTTCTGATATTTATACCTTTAAAAGTTAAATCACCTTCAAAAGTTTCTCATTGAACTCATATACTGATTGAATTATCCGTTTTCTTTAGTCAGCTAAGGTCTAGTCAGCTAATCCTGCAAAGACTTTTCACAATGGGTTAATGTAAACTCATGTTCAAGTCTTTCCAGGATGGAGACCTAGAGTAATAGTGTTTAAGATGAGTAGCTCTCAGTTCTTTTTCCTTCAAGTATAGAGGAAATAAGATTATTTTGTAGAGCAATAACCTGATTTTAACCATGACATTACAAAAATCTAATTGTAAAGGTAGCAGGACAAGAATTCAAGAGTATAAACACTGACAATTGCATATTAAGAAAATTTATTTTTTCATGGGCTACACAAACACAGCTTCATATTTGATGCCAGAAATTACACTCTCAGAAACCTGTTGATCAAAACCCAAAGGTATACTACATGGCGTAGGTAGATCACTGAACAGTAAATACTAGTAGCATCACTTCGTGGGCGTTCAACATTCAGCATGTTTAAAATGAGTGATAAGCTGACGTGGATGAACAGGAGGTGAAAAAAAGAAAAAATCATACAATCGTTTGAGTTGGAAGGAACCCTTAAAGGTCATCTAGTCCAACTCCCCTGCAACAAACGGGGACATCTACAGCTACATCAGGTTGCTCATACCCCGTCCAGCCTGCCCTTGAATGTTTCCAAGGATAAGGCTAACACCACATCTCTGGGCAACCTGGCCCAATACCTCACTACTCTTATTGTAAAAAATATATATATATTTTATAACCAATCTAAATCTCCCCTCTTTTAGTTCAAAATCATTTCCCCTTGTCCTGTCACAGCAGACTCTGCTAGAGCCTTTCCCCTTCTTTCTTATAATCCTCCTTTAGATATTGAAAGGATGTTATCAGGTCTGCTCGGAACCTTTTCTTCTCCAAGCTGAACAGCCCCAGCTCTCTCAACCTGCCCACGTAGGGAAGGCGCTCCATCCCTTGGATCATTTTTGTAGTCCCCCTCTAGACATGCTCCAACAGCTGATCATGCTCCTTTTGATGCAGCCCAGGATGCAGTTGGCCTTCTGGGCTGCAAGGGCACATTTCTGGCTCATGTCCAGCTTGCCGCCCACCAGTATCCTAAGTCTTTTTTAGCAGGACTGCACTCTATCCTTTCATCCCCCAGCTTGTATTGGTAGTGGATGTTGCCTTGACCCAGGTGCAAGACTTGGCTTCGTTAAACCTCATGAGGTTCTCTCTGGGCCCACTGCGGGCCCACTGCTCAAGCCTGTCTAGGTCCCTCTGGATGGTATCCCTTCCCTCTGGTATGTTGACTGCACCCCACAGCTTGGCGTCATCAGCAAACTTGCTAAGGGTGTACTCAACCCCACTGTCAATGTCACTGATGAAGATGTTAAAGACCACCGGTTCCAGTACTTAGTCCCGAGACACCACTTGTCACTAATCTCCATCCAAACATCGAGTCATTAACCACCACTCTCTGGGTACAATCTTGCAACCAGTTCCTCATCCATCAAACAGTCCACTCATCAAATCCATATATTTCCAATTTGGAGAGAACGATGCTGTGGGATATTGTGTCAAAGGCCTTTCTGAAGTCCAGACAGATGACATCAGTGGCTCTTCCCTTGTCTACTGATGCAGTTGCAACATCATAGAAGGCCAGAAGGTTGGTCAGGCAGGACTTGCTCTTGGTGAAGCCATGGTGGTTATCCCGTATCACCCCCCTGTCTTCCACGTGCCTTAGAATAGCTTCCAGGAGGATCTGCTCCATGATCTTCCCCAGCATAGAAGTGAGGCTAACAGGTCAGTAGTTCCCTGGATCATCCTTTCCACCCTTTTTAAAAATGGGTGCAATATTGCCTTTTTTTCCCCCTACTCACCAGGGACTTCACTTGACCACCATGACTTCCAATATCATCAAGAGTGGCTTGGCAACTATCCCCATGAAAATAAATAGGAGGTGTTACTTTCAGAGAGACCTATGTACATGAGCTAAGAACTAGGAAATCTTTCTTTTCTCCAGTCTGGTAGATACTATGGAAACAATGTTGTTATGGCATTGGATCCAATATCAGTAGTTTTTCACTATAATATGTTTCCTGTTCACTGTCTTGAAGACAATGAAGAAAATTCTCAACTGAGGATGAAACGGGATAGATAGATAAAACTCTGGATTCAGTTTAAACATTATTGACAGGGTCTAAGGTGGCATGTAATTACATTTACAAATAACTAAAATAGCTGTGGGGTTTTGTGATATATTATCTTCTCAAGATCTCCCTTTTCCAATATAACACTTGAACAGAATATCCTGAAAAACATTTTGGATTTTCTTAAGTACTCATTTATTATTATTATTATTTTATTTAAGGACAGCAAGCATAATTTCTTTCATTTTTATCTATTTAAACTTGTGCTTTAATGATATCCTTTCAGTGAAATTTTTGCCAAAATAATGCTGCAAATTAATAGCTAGTTTGATGTTGCATTCATGCTTAAATTACTACATTATGCATCATTAAAACACAGAAGCTTCTTGCAAATGAAAACATGCCTTTTTGTGTGTGTGCCTTACTTTCTGCTTAGGGGCCTTTTGTATGTATGCCTGAGAAAAAGAGCATGCTTGAAATGAGAATGTTTTACATGAACAAGCAAATACTCATATGCATATCCATATGCACGTAGGTTACTCCAAAAGTAATGCCTCCTATTTATTTCCATGGAAACCACAACAGGTACAGCGAGTAGAATAACACTATTTGATAGAGCAAATTCTCAGCTACAAAAGGCTATTTTTCAACATAATCACCACCATTAGCTATGTATTTTCACCAGCAATAAACAAGACCCTGCATGCCACACTCATAAAAACCTGCACCAGCAGAAGTGACCCACTGTTTCACAGTTGCTATGACAGTATAGTTGCTAGGAAAATGTTGCCCATGAGGTCCATCGTTAATTACTCCAAACAGATAGAAGTCAGAAGGTGCCAAATCTGGACTATACAGTGGGTGTGGTAGGACCCACTGATGGGAAATGTGCTCCACAGTCTTCAAATTGCTATGGGTCATGGCACTATCATGTTGAGAGCAAAAGGCTGTCTTCTCTGGCCTGATTCTAGAAGTTTGAGCCTTTAGCTTAATCAGCATTGTGGTATAGAAAACAGAGTTGGTGGTTTGTTTGAGTTCAGGGAAATCCAGAAGGATGATTCCTTTCCTATGTAAAGTGCACATCACACATTACCAGCTGAGGGCTGCATCTTGATCATTTTCATCTTTGAGGAATTCACAGGTCACCACTGCATAGACTGCTGTCTTGACTCCAGCTCATAGCGGTGACACCATGTCTCATCACCAGTACTGATGCAATCCAGGAAACTGTCACCTTCAGCCTCATATTGGTTCAATAGGCCCTGACAAACCTGCATACAGTGTTCTTTCTGTTTCTGTGTGAGCATTCATGGGACTCACCTGTCCCAGATTTTGTGATATTCCAATGTTGCCATCATCATTTCCAACACACTGAAGCTGATATTTAGCTCCGTACACAGTTCACTGGTCATAATCCGCTGATTCACACGGATGAGCTGATTGAGACACTCTTCATTTTGCAACGTGACAGCTATCCATGGCTGTCTGTAACATGGCTTGTTTTTCACATTGCTGTCACCACTGTTGAACTGCACCACCCACCTCCTCACTGTGCTCACATCCACTGTTTGGTCTCCATAAATGCTCAGCAAGCATCAATGAATATCAATGGGTACAATTTTTTCCCCACATGGAAGAATTCAATTAGATACCCCTTTGCTTCATATGCACTTCCATGCCAGATGCCTTTTTGTCAGACTGCCCCTCTGCTGCCATCAATCACACAGCAACAAAATGTGATGGAATACTGGCAGGAAGTTTCACCTTCTACTGTCATACCACCAACATCTGCCTCTGGTGTTGTAAGCCAACATCATAACATAGGAGGCATTGCTTTCGGAGTAGCCCTTGTACTCTCAAACCAGCTTCAGTCATTTAACCTCTAAAGTAAAAGCATTAAATGAAAAAAATAATCTGAACTTTACACTAAAACATTTGAAAAGCTAAATTCAGTCTTTCTGTGACGATGCACTGCTATATCCTAAGTAAATCGGATTTTCTTTTCTTTAAACATTTTGCAATAAACTGTATTATACAATACAAATTAAACACATTGAGCGTTCTTTTCAGTAAAAGAGGTACAGCACACATGGACATCTAGGAGATCATGAGTCACTCTTACCTTTTCTAAATCTTCAATTTCAGAACTGAAATTTTTGTTTTCTTCTGTCATTTCCTCCTCTTCGAGAGTTTGCTCATCATCATAATCATGAACCAGCATTTCAGCAGAAGGGTCAAAGTCATGATCCTCAGATGATAAGGAGCCAACTATTAAAAAAGCCCCATATCTGAATCATTTTTTCTATACCACCATACAAAGTCACATCAGAAAAAAATAAGGTTACATGAATTCTTTTGCAAACAGGGTCATAACTCTCAATGGAATAACTGGAACAAACTCCTAACTACCTGACAAATTCAGTTGTTTTAGGTTGCCTTCCCTTTCCATATTTATAAGTAACAGGCACAGTTTTCCCTCTTGCAACATAATGTAAATACTTGAAAGAACTATATAAACTACTGAAATAAAGTTTCAGAAAGTACAATCTCAAATGAGTATTTTTCCAGCTAAAAGATTGTTCAAAGCATCCTTGAAATCTTAATTAAGTGTAATGGTTTTATGATTTTTGGTTATCGGTATTCCACATCATAAAATCATGTAGTGCACTGGGAGTAAAACAATGCTCCAGTTCCAGGTACCTGTCTAGAAGAGAACAACTACATACCTCAGGGGGCTTTGCGGTCAGAGAGGACATATAACCCCTGGCAAGGTCACCTGATGCCTCTTAGGCTCTCCTCCCTGCTGCTCAACTGGACTGTGCATCTCACCTCAGCTTTATGGTGAGGCCTATCCACCTTTTGTACACACTCTCTCATTATATCTGATTTATTAGCTTCAATTCTAATTATATTGTATTATAGTGTGTTATCTTGCATTCTGATATCATATTAGTAAATTAGTTTGTTTCTCCTCAGATCATTGCCACTGTTTTTAATTATTTTGGGGTCCCCTGTTTCCCTTTTCCAGATGCGTGGATTCACGAAATCCCTCCGCCCTGCTAGTCACGGAACTGGGCTGAACCAGCCCATAAACCATTGACATTAAGGCATACATGTCACAAGATTTCTGATGCTGCAAGAATGCCAGCTTTACCTCACAAATCAAGAGACTGTGATTTATTGTCTCTGATTCTATTTATAATGATTTATACAGTAACTAAGCTATTTTTTTCTACTGGTAAATGATCAACTTAAGTTTATGAATCAACTTCCTAACAGCAAAATAAACAGCGAGACTCACTTCAGATTAGTTTACTCTCACAAATGAGATGTTTTACTAAAACTAGCTTAACTCTCAGCATTTGATCTAGAAAGAAAAAATAAACATGGCAGAGCCTCAAAAAATATAGAGGAAAATATACTGGAAATAACTAAATGCTTCTAAAGAATCACATTAATTAACAAGTCATTCTGACAGTTTTATGGCCCAATAGACACTTTTTCACTACTCAAGAGGATACTTGCAAGTCATCAAGTACTGCTATTTTACGTGCACTTTTTCAACTGTTAGAAAGGTTATCATTAGATTCAAAAAGTTTTAAAGATGCAAATATTCTGCACCACAAAGTCAGCAATCTACAATGAAAGTTACTGAAATATGGGGTTGCTTTGTTCTTTAATGGTTATTTTTCTCGATCCTGAAAACCTTAAGAAAGTAAACAAATTAGGATATTTTTCTTTAACTTCTAGTTTCCTCTTATAGTTCTTATATACTATTGTTCTGCTACAATCCTTGGTTTACCAGCAGCAAAAAAGTTTATTAAAAATAAAAATTATTCCTACAAATTTACAATCCTCTTCTTACAAAAAATAATAAAGCAGTATCCCTTGTTGTACTACTTCTAGCCTTCAGAAACACTAGTATATGTTAACACTTGTGAATCTTAAAGCATCTAATTAATTTTTCAGTGATTATGTTAAGTGTTTAATCTTTAAATGCAAGTAATTAAACTTTGCCCATTTAACTTGCGAATTATGAAATCATGAACCGAGCAAGTTCATAATACCATACCATGCAGAAATATTCAGGCTTAAAATGCTTTTTATACACATGCTATTAATATTATGGTCTCATGTAGCTCTCAGCATAGTTGATAATACTACTTCAATTACAATAATTACACATTGAATTTTTCTGCTGTTGGCTATTACATCCTGATCCCACAGCTTTTCAAGAACTGTGAGCTGTCTTGATCTAGTGTGTGTATATATATTATTGTTTCTAATTGTTGTTCTAATTCATTTTGAATAACTGAAGAGGAAGGTCTACGCAACTCTCATACAAAAAGTTACACTCAGTGGCACTCAATATCCAATTTAAAACCATATTCAAGTAATATGAGCTCATTGAATTTAGTAAGAGCAGTTAAAAAGAACAGTTAATACAGAAAGCAGTTACACAGAAGTGAATACACTCCTCAAATACTTATCCATAAGTAGCCCTATTGATGTTAAACATGCTCACTTGTGTGAAGTATTCCAATGAACCTTAACAGAGCTTCAAGCCTTAATGGCTGAATATCATTGTGATTTAAAACACTTTCTGATATTACCAAGAAGTAAAAAATTCATACAAGACCGTAGTTATCAGCATCGAGCAAACCCCACTCTCCTGATTTAAAAGCACTACAAAACTTTGCTTTCATTTTGTGTTCCAAGCAGCCAGTTATTAATTGGGACTGGAGCTAAGGAAAGAACTCCACAGCACATGCAGGTGACACGTTAGGTGACCGTGAAGCATTAGAAAAACTACAAAGCAAGAAGATACAGCTGTGTAAAGGAATAGGAGAGAGCGCAGCATGCAGGTAGGGTGCCAGGCAAGAGCTGGCAATGACAAACCTGGACTCGAACTCCCAAAGGATGCCTGCAGGGAAAGTAGAGCCAGGTGAAGCGTGGAGTTCTTGTAGTCTGGAACAAGGCGCCTCACCCCGCAGCAGGTACGGTTCACGATTTTACATCCCCTCCCCTCTGTAACCAGAGCTTCCTCCTTCTCCCACCATTCTCTTTCTGCTGCTCTCCCCACGCAGGCTGCTGACATTACCCCTAGCCCCCATCTCTCACTCTGCTCATCCAGCCATCCCACTTATGCTTTCCTATTCCTCCTTCCCTCATCCACTCTCTGTCGCTCCGCTTTCCTCCTCCCTTAGTAAAATCCAACCAGGAGCCGCAATCGGACTGACCCAGTGCTCCTCCGTCCTCCATTCCCAGCGGGACACGGCAGCAGCAAGCAGCGACAGAGGCAGGCCGACTGGCTGCCGCCTCTTTTCCACTCCCATCCCAAGGCTTGCTCATTCTCCCGCCCGCCAAGCACTTCTCCATAGCGCTGCAGTAGCAGTGCAGCCGGTCCAATTCGGACCGCTGCACAGCCACCGCGTCCCCTACCGCAGCCTGTCGGCCACCCGCAACCTCCGAACCCGACACCCGTGCTGCACGGCGCTTGCCGTGCGGCCTAGTCCTGCAGGCATCTGGCGCCAGTGGCTCCGACGGCCACCCTGCTAGTCCCCCGCGCCACTAGCCCACCCTAGAAGCGCCTTACGTGGACGTGGAAAGCCAGACGGTGACGGAGCCCCTAGGAGAAACCGCCCGAACTCCGACACCACAACCCTATTTCCCCGCTCACCTCCGCCATATTTGGACAACCAGGCTGAGCAACAGCGCTAGCAACGAGTGCCCGGATGAGGCCGCTAAACCAATGGCAGTCGCCGAGTCGGAGCCGGCCGGGGAGGAACCAGAGAAGCTGGCGGGACGGGTGGGATGGAGGCAGCGGCGGCGGCCCCGGTGTCATCCCGGGACCCTGTAGGAAATATCCAAATAATTTTCTAGGACGGTGTCTCTAATAAAGCAGATTTTATTCGCAATTGCAATGGCGGGCCTCCTGCAAGCAGGAGAGCCCACAGAAAACAGAGTTACCTCTTTTATTCCCTATTCCCCGACGCTTATCTCTTACTCCCCTGGTTCCTCATTGGCTGAGTACTTCAGGTTTACAATCTTCTCGACGCTTCACTAAACATGGAAACATTGGACAAACATAAATTTTTGCTGCATAAGCGTAAATCTGTAGTTAATTAACTTATTCCACATCTGATCATTATTTTGCAGATATCTGCTTGTCCTTCTTTCTACAAAGATAAGCTTGGGAGAGAGACAGGGGAGGATCCTGGTGCCTGCCTTCACACCCCAACCTTCTCACGGACTGAGACAGTTCAGCCTTGTGTAGAGGCCCTGACTTCTTTGATGTTTGCTAAATCTGTCTTTCTTTTGCTGAGAGTTTCTTATCCTAAGAGAACAGCTCTACAATATGTTTTCTAATCCTTAGCACACTATACTCACATTGTTTGGAACATTTAACAACTATTACAGTTTTGCAAGAAAGAATTAATCACATAATTCAGTAATAATGTTTCTAAAACATGCCACTAACATATACAGTATTTTACTTCTTAGATCAACTATTTCTAAGGATAAGTTACAAAATACAAATGCATTATGTTCTACTTCTTCAAACCAATTGCTACGTTTTAATATCAAATGCAGAAACAACATTCCATTCCCACAACCCCACCTCCGGCAGCACCTCAGAAGCTGAGGGTGCTTACCATGTCCTGGATTTGCCCAGCGTGGAGGGGGCACTCGGCACAGGCCTACGAGCTGAGGCTCTTTCCTGGTTTTATGATTTTTTGTTATTGGTATTCCACATCATAACATCATGTAGAGCACTGGGAGTTAAAGAGTTAATGCTCCAGGTCCATGGACTGACGATTTTTTCGGGTACTCAGTTCTCAGAAGAGAAGATCTACATACCCCAGAGAAATTTTACTTCTGTTTTCCTTTCAGAGGGAAAGATAAAATTGTTCGCAGATAACAACATATCCCCCTTTCTTTTTTTTTCCTTTCTGCTCATCTCTGCAGCACGTGTTCTGCCTAGCTGTCTCACCTTCAGCATTAGAGTAAGGCCTTCAGTTTTTTGGACACTCTCATTTTATTTGATTTATTAGGCTCAATTTTAATTATACTGTATTATATAGTGCTATCTTGCATTCCGATATATTTAGTAAATTAATTTTCCTCCTCAGATCACTGCTGTTGTTTTATTTTTAGGCCCATCACCCTACCCTTTCCCTTTTTCCCTCTTCCCTCTTTCCTGGTGCATGGGTCCGTGGGTCCCCTGCCAGATTAGTCACATGACTGGGCCAAAATGGCCCATAAACTGTTGACGTTTTTGGTGGAGGATGTGGGCATAAGCCACCATGGCCGGGAAAAGACGCACTTTTTCAACAAATTTCTCTCTACTGTCAGAGAGCTTCATTAGAAAGCTTATCTGTACTGCAGGTGCTGTACTGAAAACAAGGCCATGAAGTCCAGGTGGACTTCCAGTATTCTGGGATATTGTCAATAGTTTATGGACTGGTTCAGCCTGAATCTGTGACTAGTGGGGGGGCAGGGGGACACACAGACCCACACCCTAATAAAGTGAAAAAGGGAAAAACAGGAAAAGAGTAGGGAGATGGGCCTTAAAAAAAACCAGCAGCAACAATTTGAGGAGAAACAAACTAATTTACTAAACAAGATATGGGAATGCAAGATAACACACTAAAATGCAATATAATAAAATATAATTAGAATTGGAGCTAATAAATCAAATAGTAGTATGCAGTTCTTCTCTTCTGAGAACCAGGTACCTGGAACTCTCCACGATCCACAGAAAAGAATTAACATTTTAACTCCCAGTGCACTACATGATGTTATGATGTCAAATACCAATAATCAATGATGATAAAACCATGACATTCCACTCCTTATTTCATATGACTACATCATACTTAATATATATACAAGCAAACAATAATTAACAAGCATTAAACACACGCACACACAAACGTATATATATACACATGGAATTACTGACTGCACTCGCCCAACATCAAATTCCTTTGTGGTACACATTCAACATCTCCATTTTTCTGCATCACCCTCCAAGTGGACCCAGGTCACTGGGCAAAAGCAGTTCCTCAAAGAGGTTTGCCCTTCCCAGAAGCTAGAGGACCCAAACCACCAATCCCAACATGCACTTTACATGTAATACAGGGATCTTATCTCCTTCTACAGTATGTAGAGAGATGGAAAGGGCAGGACCATCTCGATAGATCGATCCTCTAGTATTGACCAGCCAGGTGGATTCTGTCAAATGCTTCTCCCAATGAATAAATGCTTCAGCACCGATTGCTTTCAACATCGTTTTTAACAACCCATTGTATCGTTCAATTTTACCAGAAGCTGATGCATGGTAGGGAATATGATAAATCCACTCAATGCCATGATCTTTGGCCCAAGTATTTACAAGAGAATTTTTGAAATGAGTCCCATTATCTGACTCAATTCTTTCTGGGGTGCCATGTCGCCACAGGACTTGTTTCTCAAGACCCAATATGGTGTTTCGGGTGGTAGCATGGGGTACTGCATATGTTTCAAGCCACCCAGTGGTTGCCTCCACCATGGTAAGCACATAACACTTATCACTGTGGGATCGTGGCAAGGTGATATAATCAACCTGGCACACCTCCCCATATTTATACTTTTGCCATCGCCCCTCCTCCCAGAGTGGTTTCATCCTCTTGGCTTGTTTGATTATGGCACATGTTTCACAGTCCTGAATAACCTGTGCAATAGCATCCATAGTTAAGTCCACCCCTCGGTCTCTAGCCCACTTATATGTTGCATCCCTTCCTTGATGGCCCGAGGTCTCATGGGCCCACTGAGCTAGAAATATTTCACCCTTGTTCTGCCAGTCCGGGTCTATTTGAGCCACCTCAATTTTGGCAACTTGATCTACCTGATGGTTATTTTGCTGTTCTTCAGTAGCCCGACTCTTGTGCACATGAGCATCTACATGGCTTACCTTTATAACCATTTTCTTTGTTCAGGCAGCAATGTCTTTCCACAGTTCAGCAGCCCAAATAGGTTTACCCCTTCTTTGCGAGTTGTTTTGTTCCCATTACTGTAACCACCCCCTTAAGGCATTTGTCACCATCCATGAGTCAGTGTAAAGATGAAGCGTTGGCCACCACTCCCATTCAGCAACACCTAAGGCCAGTTGGACAGCCTTTACCTCTGCAAATTGGCTTGATTCTCCTTTCCCTTCAGCGGCCTCTGCAACTCATTGTGTAGGGCTCTGCACAGCAGATTTCCATCTGTGATGCCTCCCCTCAGTACAACATTATCCATCTGTGAACAGGGCATATTTCTTTTAATTCTCTGGTAGTTCATTGTATGGTGAGGCCTCTTTAGCTCGTGATACTTCTTCTGCTGGTGATGTTCCAAACTTTTTAGCTTCAGGCCAGTCCTTGATGACCTCTAGGATTCCTGGACGGCTGAGGTTCCCCATCTGCGCTCGTTGCGCACTCAACGCAATCCACTTGCTCCAAGTGGCATCAGTTGCGTGATGGGTGGGGGGAACCTTTCCCTTAAACATCCAGTTCAGCACTGGTAGTCGAGGTGCCAGGAGGAGCTGTGTTTCAGTACCGACCACTTCAGAAGCAGCCCAAACCCCCTCATACGCGGCTAAGATCTCCTTTTCAGTTGGAGTGTTGCCCTCTTCCGACCCCCTGTAGGCCCGACTCCAGAATCCCAGGGGTCGGCCTCGGGTCTCTCCTGAGGCTCTTTGCCACAAACTCCAAGTGAGACCTTTCTCTCCAGCAGCAGTGTAGAGGATGTTCTTTATATCCTGCCCTGTCCGTACTGGCCCTAAGGCCACGGCACGGGCTATCTCCTGTTTAATCTGTTCAAACGCCTGCCGCTGCTCAGGGCCCCATGTAAACTCATTCTTCATTCGCATCACATGATAAAGGGGGCTTACAATGAAGCTACAGTTTGGAACGTGCATTCTCCTAAAGCCCACTACACCCAGAAAAGATTGTGTCTTTCTCTTGATAGTGGGTGGAGACATAGCGGTGATTTTGTTGATCACATCTGTCGGGATGTGACGACAGCCATCTTGCCACTTTATACCTAGGAACTGAATCTCCTGAGCAGGTCCTTTCACTTTGCTCTGCTTAATAGCAAAACCAGTACACAGAAAGATCTGGATAATTTGATCTCCTTTTGTGAAGGCTTCTTCTGCTGTATCGCCCCACACAACGATATCATCAATGTACTGCAAGTGCTCAGGAGCACTGCCCTGTTCCAGTGCAGTTTGGATCAACCCATGGCAAATAGTCGGGCTGTGTTTCCACTCCTGGGGCAAACGGTTCCAAGTATACTGAACACCCCTCCAGGTGAAAGCGAACTGTGGCCTACATTCTTTGGCCAAAGGAATGGAGAAAAAGGCATTATCAATGTCAATGGTGGCATACCATTTGGCTGCTTTTGATTCTAGTTCATACTGGAGTTCTAACATGTCCGGCACAGCAGCACTCAGTGGGGTTGTGACTTCATTCAGGCC